AGTGGTATACAAATTTATACTTTAATCCTGTAAAAACTTAAGTGGACCCAAATGTGCTTAGGACACTGGACATAACAGCAGGAGTGATGGAGTGAGTAACAACCATGGTTAGAGCATCACCACCACTGCCTTCATGAGTTCCCACCACTAATGTGGGCCAGGAGTGCTATCTGCATCTTCCCACCTATTCCCAGCAGGAAGCCCATGGGGTCAAGTGTCTATTCCAACTGTGCAGAGAGAGGATCTCTGTAGATGTAATGAAACTCCTGTGTATGAAATGTGCATATGAGAAAGATACAGGTGATCTTTACTTGATTGCAATGAAATATGTTCCACAAGAGGGCAGGGGGTGATTGCTACTCATAAAAATAGAACCAACTCTAAAGCAAAAAGGGATTAATAAGGAAGAACAGATAAGAAATGAGATGCAAAATTATATAAAAGGGACTTAATTACTTCCGATAATGAAGAAGAACTTCAATATAAAAAATAATGGAGGGGTGGGTCAGCAATGTGACCAACTCATAGGTTTGGCCACATGAAATTTATTAACTCACATGTTCTCCCTCGAAAGAGAAATACATATATAAAAGAACTAAATGCAAAGAGCAATCTTAGTGAAAACAACTTCCAATTCTTCTCAGAGTTAAAAAAAAAATACCCAGTCCTCATAAAAGCAAAGTACTTGCAATTACAAAGAGAAAGAAAAGGCTAACAAGCTAAGATAGACTCAGCCTTTGCAACAAAAATTGCAAAATAAAGCTCTTTAATTTTCTATACTAACATATTAAGTAAGACTTATTTCATGTGACCACCTAGCACGAGAGAGGATGCTGTGAGATGTGTGTCCCCTGAAGGCAGTATTTGTAAGCAGCCCTAGTTTCACCTTTGTAATGAATATGGAAGTAGCTTGAATACACTCCAGGCTGAAATTAAAGAAAGAAATGCTCTCACCTCACTGCACAACCCGCCACCCCTGAGACTCATTTTGCCCAACCTGCTACGGGGACGCTCCCAGGATATGTTCTCATTTTAGGGAAAATACTTGATACACTTTCCCAGTCTTGTCCAATTGTACTTTGTTACCATTATATAGTCGTCAGCAATGATCTGAGCATTGCAGATCTGAGAGTCACTTCTCTTTTTAACATGTTAACCAGTGGCAGATGAGTGAGTCAGCACTCAGCTCGCTCAGCTCTGGGCTGGGTGGGTCGATATTGTCAGCTTCTGTTCTTGCTGAACATTTCCTGCAGGACCTACCAGGTCTCAGACTCACATGGATGGGGTCTCTGAGAAGGTCTCCTGTGGAAGTCCTTGGGGAAGTTGATGGTGGAGACTGAAGCTCTGTCCCCAGACAAGACAGCAGGAGAGGGAAGCCCTGGCCCCCGAGCCAGACTTAGGACTCCAGAACAAGCCACCAAGTCTGCTCAGCCTGTGATTGCACACTCTGAGGGACAACATCAGGGCAGGTACTTGTAGCTCCCTCTCTGCTCATTAGATACAGTCCTGTCATCACTCCATCCCCTGAGCTCCTGACTTTCCTGGGGGACATTGGTTAGAGCAGAAAGTAAAATGTTCTTGCTTATTCTATATTCCCAAGAGACCAGGGCAATTAGGTGAACATGGTCTTTGTTTTTCTTTCTCCATAAAATCCTTCACCTTCCAGAAATCTACACTCCTTAGCATTTTTGCCCAATCTTTACCTACAATTTCCTCCAAGCTACTTGACTTTGCTAGATTCATGGACTGACCAAGCACTGGCTTGAAGGGACACAGCCTCCAATACCTCCAGAGAATTGCTATTGTCTCTTCTTCAGGAGATAAAACTGTGTTTGTTATAAAGTCTTGAAAATTTACCACAACTCTTGAATTCATGATGCTTTTTACAAAGCACTTAGTTATTTCATGCTTGGAACTAAAGTTAAAAACTGTCATTTGAAAAGGCAGAATATAGTGTCACAGTCTGCTTTGGAAAAAAATTGTCATCCATGCCTTTATTTATAAAATATTAGGCAATTGTTAGTGATATACTTAGGTATTTTTGTGTGTATGTGTGCACATGCTTGCAGCATGGACTGAAGTTAGAATCTTACAAGGATTGTTTCATTTATTTTTTATAGATGCATATTGTATGAGGTCAATAGTGTCATGACTTATTTTATATTTGTATAAATGGGGACCAGAGAGGCTAATAGATCTGCCTCCAATTATGAACTGAGTTAGAATGAGCTTGTTCCCTATCCTCCTTCTCCAGGGCACCAGTCTTCCACCAGGCATGAACAGGCCTCCTGGAGATGGGTGGTAATTGTTGAGGAAATTTTGGATTTTTATCACTTGGGATTTGTACAGACCTAGGAGGTGGAAGCCTGGGATCCTGCTCAGTGGCCAAAAAAGCACAGGACACCATACATCAAAGTGTTATTTCGCACAAATATCAACAGTAGGGAGTTTGAGAAACACTTTTCTGACCAGAATGTTTCCAAATTCAGTGTGAATATGAATCACTTGGGGATCTGGTTGAAATGCAGGTTATGATTTGACAGGTTGGTGTGGCCAGAGGTTGTGCTTTTGCAAGAGTTTCCAGTCAGGCTACAGGCTCCCAGTCCTGGTAGGTGGATGATGATGATGATGATGATGATGATGATTATTATATTATATTATTATTATTATTATTATTATTATTATTATTATTATTATTATTTTATTTTAAGGCACAGAAAAATTGTTACATAGTATGCATCCCCTGAACTTGTGGAAAGCTGATTTGTTTCTTGGGACCAGAGACAGGCAGTTCTATCTCTCAGAGGAGGAACAGGGAAAGTGGCATGTCCCTTTATCTTCTCAAGGAGAGAACAGGGAAAACAGTATGTCCCATCTCAGGGGCCGGTAAGATGTCTCCTATCTCTCAATGAGAGAACAGGGAGAGACCAGCCATCTCCAGACAGGTAGGTTTTACCTTGGGCTAGTTTCTATTTCTTGAGAATAAGAACAGTATTCATAAAGTGAGGGCGAGGGGAAACAAGATGGCTGAAATTATGCCAAAGCTCTCATTATATCCATTGACCAACTTCTTCCCATTGCTCCTCTTGAATTTCCTGTCAGTCCTTGGTTCTACTTTCATCTTCTATGAGATCAGCTTTTTTTTAGATTCCAACTAAAAGTGAATCATGCTAATTAGCATTTCTGTGTTCTTTGAAGAGATGTGGTTTTGATTTGCATCAAGTTCAAATTTTGGTCTCCATAAGTGAAGTTTTACTGAGAGATGGTCACATCGTGTGTGTGTGTGTGTGTGTGTGTGTGTATTTTGTCTCTGGCTGCTTCCACCCTCATGGCAGAGCTGAGTCATTGTGAAAGACAATCTGGCCTCTAAAGCCCAAGACATTTATTATCTGCCCCTTCACAGAAGTTTTCTGGCCACTCCATTCAAGCAAATAGGCAAGGTGAGAACCTTATTTGTGGATGCCTGCAAATGTGAGTGACCTTTCTTCAGTAAGAGCTTCTTGGTGGATAGAGGATATGAAAGAGAGAAGGATGGTCCCCCACAGGTATCCAAGTTCTCATCCCTGCAAACTGTGACTATGTTACCTGACCTTTATCATACAGTTGTGAATATTGTCTTTAAATATTATACCAATGCCAAAAAATTAAGTAGCAGATTATTATACTTCTACTCTGTCCTGTTTTCTTTCTTTATTATAATAGTGAGGCTTGCTGCATAACAAGCATTCCTAAATGCCATTGGTTTAATGTAGTGCCTTTAAACAAATGGGACCACATGAGAGGACTTATTCTGAACTTGGTTTTTGTGAAGGAATATAAATATTTTTGCAAGAGAGCATGTGGCCTGCTATTACAAAACTGGGTAAGAATCCAGGCTCTTTTGTAAGTTACACTGAGCTCATGATGCTTGTAGGAGTGATACTTGAGCATAAAGGGCATATATAAATGGATGATACTGATATTGCTCATTTACAACCTCTCATGGTATGGCAAAATTCAGAAAAGGGTGGATAGTTCACTTAGAACAACATAAGGATTCATTTTTCTAGGCAGCACTAGAAATTTTCAAGCAGAAATGGAAAGATAAGTCAGTAATAAACCACAAGAACTGTCCACCAATCTTCAGTGAGCAAACCCCCCTCCACAGAGAGAGTAGTCTTCCACACTTCAGCAATTCCATTTGCAATATGAAAAGCCATATTTTGCATAGCAATACAATATGCAATGTGCAATGTATAAGTCTGTCTCATCATGTTTAAGGTTCACTCTGACTCTGAGGCCAAATAAATCAATCTATTATTTCTCATTTACTTTCTGTTGCAGCCTTCTCTTGCAGACGGATATTAGATAATTTGTTTTCCCTGTGACAGTGGTAAATACTGTGAATACCAAGCTATATAACAGAACACCAATGAAGAGAAGAAAAGCTTCTGCTCAGTCACAAAACAATGAATTCAAAACTCACACTCTTAAGCAGATAAGACACGGACAGTGAGGTACAAAGGAATGATGAACTGCAAGAGAAAACTGTGATCCCGGCCTCTCCTCTAGGATGAAACTATGCAAATGACCTTCATTGTCAAGTGTGGGATTTTTCCATCAGAAGAGCACACACAACATATGGAAATATTTTTTAGTACAAACTAATCAAAAATAACTGTGTAATCTGTATCCTGAGAAGAAATTATTCTTCAGAAATTCATCTTGTCCCATGAAATAAATGGGAATTTCCAGCCTTTCCAATCCATGATTGAAAACAATTTTGAGGAAGTGTGTCACAGATAAAGGGGAATGCTCTGTTTACGTCAGAGCAGAAAGCTCATGAGGTGACTTACATATATTTTTTGGAGAAGTTAAAAATCAAAGAAATGGAAACTCCATAAAGCAAATAGGAGGCAGTTCTAGTTCCACAATCTCAATAAAATATTGTAATTTCTTGCTCTGAGGCTTCAAGCCTTGCAATCAGCAGTAGTTTTGAAGGTCCAGGATAATGGGAGCTTTTATAGTTTCTCAAAGAGTGTTTTCAGAGCGCACTTGATGTCCTTATTCCTCAGACTGTAGATGAAGGGGTTCAGCATGGGGGTGACCACAGTGTACATCACAGAGGCTGTTGCACTTGAGGGTGAGTTTTGGGTCACAGCAGAACTAAGATACACCCCCAGGAGTGTGCAATAGAACAAGGATACCACAGAGAGGTGAGACACACAGGTGGAGAAGGCTTTGTACTTGCCTTGAGCTGATGAGATTGCACAGATGGAGGACACTATTCTGGAGTAAGAGTAAAGGATACCACTGAGGGGGCAACCAGCCAGCAACACAGCTGTAATATACACCACCAGGTCATTAAGGAAAGTGTCAGAGCAGGCAAGGTGGACCACCTGATTAGGTTCACAGAAAAAGTGTTGGATTTCCAAGTCTGTGCAGAAAGACAGTCGCAACACCATTAAGCTGTGCAATAAAGAATTGAGGGCACTTGTGACCCAGGACACCAGCACCAGAAATCCACAGAGCCTGGGGTTCATGATGAGTGTGTAGTGCAGGGGGTGACAGATGGCCACATACCTGTCATAGGCCATCACGGCCAGGAGGAAGTTGTCCAACCCTGCAAATAACGCAAAAAAATAAATCTGTATGATGCAGCCTACATAGGTAATGACTTTACTTTGCATCTGAATGTTCACCAACATCTTTGGGACAGTAGTAGAAGTGAAGCTGATGTCCACAAAGGACAGGTTGGAGAGGAAGAAGTACATGGGTGTGTGCAGGTGGGAGGCTGAGATGACAGCCAGAATGATGAGCAGGTTCCCCAGCACAGTGACCAGGTACAGGGAGAAGAAAAGTCCAAAGATGAGGAGCTGTAGTTCTGATTCCTCTGAAAATCCCAGAAGAAAAAATTCAGAAATTTGTGTGTCATTTTGTGGTCCCATGTGCTTTGATTGACATCAGGAAAGAGAAAAATAACATCATTAATTTTTCTATCTGATTTTCTTTAAAGCGCCACCCTCTCCCTGCACATCTAAGATTAGTAATTCCTGTCCCTCTCCACCTTTTTATCAATGTATCGTATACTCTACAGTTTTAATGAACTATTCTTTTATGAACCTGTGGGATATAAGTTAGGTCCATCCATGGTCCTGGCACTGTCTAGGCAGTGAGCCTTTAAAATAAAAGTACCTACAATCCATTCATGCAGAAAAAATCATGTGTAAGGAAATTAATCAAAACCAGGAGCTAAAGGGGGGTTTTGAGAGTTTTCACTATAAAAGACTGATACATGTTTGAGCAGATTTTGATTTTATACAATGTATACAATTATTAAAACATCACATTGCATCCCATAAATACATAGAGTTGTAATATATCAGTTAAAATATTAAAAAGACATGGTGAATTCCACACCTATTTATACATATAAAGTACCAATTTTTTAAAATAAATAGGTGAGTGCAGTGACACATGCCTGTAATCCAAGTGGCTCTGGAGGATGAGACAGGAGGATCACGAGTTCAAAGCCAGCAAAAGCAAGGTGCTAAGCAACTCAGTGAGACCCTTCTCTAAATAAAATACAAAAATAGGACTGGGGTGTGGCTCAGTGGCTGAGTGTACCTGAATTCAATCCCTGGTACACGCCCCCCCCCAAAAAAAAAACAATAAATATATGGGGGTAAGGCCAGTGGAGTAAAGCAGGGTGAAACAAGAGGGAATTACAAACTGAAGTGGAATAAATTATATTCCATGAGTATGTGATTATGTCAAAATGAACCCCACTGTTATGTATAGCTAACACAAACGTTAAAAATAAAATGCCTTAAAATATAAATGCTTCTGTAATTATTACTTCTGTAATAAGTAATAATTGCTATAAAGAAAACATGTTCAGGTAAAAATAAGGGTGAATGGAGGTGCTATTTTTTAAGGGGCACAGGTAAGACATTTGAGTAGAGATCTCAGGGCAGAGAGTCAGATCTATGAGACTGTCCTCAGAGATATGTGCCTGGCTGGAGGAGTGAGCAGTGCAAAGGCCCTGAGGGTGCTGTTATTTCAAAATCAAGCCATGGTGGCAACCAGAACAAACAGGAGGAGATGGAGGAGGGACCAAGTTTGAGAACTGGGAGGAAGGAGGTGGCCTCCTTACACCGCTGAAGGTTGTGATTCTCAAGGTGAAGAGGGTCCTTTGTGCACATGTTATTCCTTATCTTCTGTTTGAAGCAGCTGTACTGAAGGGTAGTTATATCTGAATAAATGCATGTATGCAGTAAGCACAATCTGATGAGTTCAGACATATGGAACCTTGGTGCCCCTCATGCAATCTACGCCACAGACACACCCATCACCCGCCCAGCGTGTCCTTTAGAGTTTCACTTTCTTCTTTCCTGTGGTAAAAACGATTAGCATGAGATCTATCCTCATAGTAGGACTTCAAATGTACAGAGTCATTTGTTACTGCCTGGCCCTGTGTTACACAGCAGGTGGAAATGAATGATCTTATATAAGCCTGACCGGATACCTCTAAGATCAGCCCACACATTCTTTCCTGGTCTCCCCAACACCACACTGTCCCATGCAACCATGAGATCAATAGCTTTATATATCATGTACTTGGAATCATGTGGTATTTTGATTTAAAAGGCATCCTGTGGATCCCTCCTGAAATCTCTCAGTTATTTAAGAATCAGATGCCTGTGTTATAACAGTCACAGTTTGGCCAGACAACAACTGTACAAGAAAAGAAAATTAGAGGCTTACATCCTTAATGAACACAGATGTAAAAACCCCCAACAAAATATGAGCAAAATGAACTCATCAGCATGTAGGAAGATTATTCCCAGTTTGGAATACATGAGCTCGAGGGCCCTGGCTCTGAGGTCTGCTCACTTTATATGAATCTCTATAAAAGTCTGCACCTGCCATGGCCCTCCATCCTCCTCTTCCTGTGGTATACTCTTGTGGACGTTCTACCATAGATGAACTTATTCCTCTACACTCTTCCTTTGCCATTATAAGATGCACGTGAGCATAGATCTTACCTGCTTTCCTCATTTATGCATTTTCACAAAGGAAAAAAATCAGAATGCATAAAAAATAAAATTAATGGTTTGTACAATAAAAAGAATGCCAGGTGAATAAATGACTGCAAAATATTTATTTAATGCAAAACTAACTGCATTAAGTAAAATGAAATTAAAGTTTAAAATAAATTCTCAAGGAAGAGACCTAAAGTAGCAATAATGTAATTCCATCAACATGAGTCAACATTACATTGGCAAACACCTGGAAATAAAATAATAATAATAGATACTTCTTTAGGACCATTGGAAGAAATAGTATCTAAAGTTATAATCTCATCCTATATAAACACAAATTTATTCAGATATGCTTATGACACTAGACACAATTGCAAGAATAAAGAAATTATGTCATCTCTATGAACAAAATATTCTCAGAGCTTCTTTTAGGAGTCTTTCCATGCATGTGAGGTACATCCATTACATGTATTATCTCATTTATTCCTCACCTATAATAATATTTAATCCCACAATACATAAATGGAAATTATAAATATAATGAAGCTTTTATGTGTGAAATGTAAGCTATGAGAAAGATGTAGGCAAGCTTTTGTTGAATGCATAATATATGTTCCACCTGGTGGCAGAAGATGATGGCTGCTCATCCAAATAGAACCAATCACACCAACCAGAAAGACAGTGATCAGGAAAAACATAGGCAAAAAAATTGTCAAAGGCACAAGAAGTAATTAATAACTACTAATCATGCAGAGGAACTTTCTGTATTTAAAAAGCTAAAGAGGGAATGAGTCTGCAATATGCCTAGCTGATAGATCTCCCCAAAGTTGATATACATTCAAACCCATTCCCCCAAATATTTGTATTCTTATGTTAAAGAAATGGCAAGCAGCAAACTTAGAGAAAAATCTCCAATTCTTTCATTGAAAGAATAATTTTTTTAAAAAACAGATGAAATTAATTTCCTTACAAACAAACATTTTGCATGAACAATTCAGAACTGCAGAGGAAGGAAAGACCAACAAACTCAAACATATATTCAATTTAAGCAGTAAAATAATAATAATAATAATAAAGATACAAGGTAAAGTTCCTTCTGTTCTTTTGACCTATCAAGTAAAGCTTTTTTTATGTGAATGTTAAGTATGAAGAGAAGATCCAGGAAATGCATGTCTCGAGCTGCTGTTGTAAAGTAGTATTTGTAAGCAAAACACTAGTCAGATATTTGTAACGGGTAAGAAAATAGGCTCAAATACACTCCATGTTAAAAATTAAAGAAGAAAAAACACCCTGTCTTCACTCTACATCCCCTAACCCTAATGCTAACTCCGTTTTCATGCTCCCTAATAGAAAATCTCCTTGAATATAATCTGATTTTATGGGAATGCTTTCTGCCTATCATGCATGAGTCTCACCCCACTGGTCTTCCCTGCTCCCCATGTCACTGTCCACAGGCTCTATGCACTGCAGAGTCTAAAAGACACTTCTCTTGTTAACACAGTGAATGAGTCGAAATTAGTCCAGTAAGGAAACACAGAGGTCTCTGAGCTCTGGGCTGAGCTGGCTTGGTTCACAGGTGACCTCTGGTCCATTTTGTCAGGTTCCATCCTTGCTGACCCTTTCCTGCAGTACCTGTGTCTCGGGCTCACCTGGACGGGGTGTCTAGTAAGCAGGATTCTGTGTGGAAGTCTGGATTCCTCCCTGGTTGGTTGATGATGGAGACTGAAGCTCTGTCCCCAGACAAAACAGCAGACGGACTGAAGCCCTGGTCCCCTAAACAGACCTCAGACACCGAAAGAAACCACCTTGTTCTGTCCAGCACCTCTCTGAGGGACAGCATCCCAGGCTCTATTTATAGCTCCCCATCTCTTCTGAGGAAGTGCAGTTCCTCTTGTTAACTCCAACCCCTGAGTAGTACCTGATGTCCCTGTGGGATATTGGTCTGAGCAGAAAGAAAACATTTCCTGCTCATTCTCTGTTCCCAAGTGACCAGTTAGAAATCAGGTGAATCTGGTCTTTATTACTCCTTGTCCATGAATTTCCCTTCCATCCAGAAATCTAAACTCCTTACACTTTTGCCCAAGTTTTACTTATAATTCTCTCTAAAGTCTGAGTTACCTGAATTTGCTAGATTCCTCAGAACTCCTAATCACTGGCTTGTAAAGGGGACGCAGCTCCTGAGATCTTTTGAGAATTGCTATTCCCCCTTCATAGAAGGAGAGAACTGAGTTCATTTTTTAAACAAAAACTATGACAAGTATTTACAACTAATGTAGCAGTTTCATGTTTGGAACACAAGAATTTTCATTGATTCCTTCATTTCTGAAACTTTTGGAAATTATAGGAGATATTTTATATTTTTATGCACCTTAGATTGAAGTTGAAATATTATGAGGACATTTAATTTCTACATGTTCATTATAAGAAATTAACCCTATTAGGGACTTTACATTCGCACAAATGAGGTTCAGAGAAGCTAAGTGACCTGCCTAATGTTACAACTTGAGTAACAATGAGCTCAAAATGTTCCTGTTTCTGCTCCAGGGCAGTGGTCCTCCACCAGGGTGATGATTTCTCCTGGAGATACTGGTGACATTGGGAGAAATTTGGAGTTTAGAGCTGGGAGTAGGTGTTGCACCTAGTGGGTGAAGCCAGGGATGCTGCTTGTCATTCCACAGTGCATGGTATTATGACACACCCCAGAGAGTCACCTAACACACAGGTCAACATGGGGAGTTTGAGAAACACCAGAATTTTTCCAGGGTCAATATGAATATGAATCACTTGGGGATTTGTGTGAATGCGGATTATGATCAGGGAGGTCAGGGGGGCAGGTCTCCCTGTCCATCTTTCCCTTCTTTTACAGGTTTGAAGAAATTGATCAAATTATGCTATGTACACACGTGAACAGACCACAATGAATTTCCCACCTTTGTGTATTTGTACCAAGCACCAATTAAATTAAACAATAGAGTAATTTTAATTTTTAATTAGTGCAGCCACCCAATTTTTCAGTTATCTACAGTGATAATTTCTTTTTAAGTTTTTAATAAATCGAATCCTGAATATTTAAATTTATATCTTTGGAAGTGATGTTATTTGTGCTTCTTTGGAAATGTTACCCTGAAGATTTATTTACAAAGACTTGTTCTGAGGTAATATAAATGATTTCAGCATCAAAGATTTCCTTCCGTTTTGATTCTCTTTCCTTTCAGTCCTACCCAATTTACTGATTTTTTCTCCTCATGCCCAATAGGGTTTTCTTAAAATTCAGTACTATAACTTACCTGTGTTTGCAACTGCAATATCTAGTACAGTTCTTTAGGAGACTGTGTAAATCAGGCCATTCTTTTAGGTCTGATATTAAGTGGTTTCTAGAGAAGTGTTATAATAGCAGTAGCTGAAGCTCAAATAAAATGGAAAACTTCCTATATAAACTCCTACTTCAGTAATTCTCCACAAAAGAGAAAAGCTCTGTAACCAGATGTTGTAATCACAGAAATAAACTCCAAAGTAAGAATTCTTAAGGGTCCCTTAATGTTTTAATGTAAATTTCTTGGTATAGTCATGAAAATGAGCACCTTTTTGCATTTATAAGTTAACTGTATTTATCATTCTAAATCACAGGTTCATATATTTCAACCATTTTTTAAAGTTTTTTTTTTTCTATAAATTCTAGTTTGTTTCAAATAATTCGTTTATGTCTAATTTGCTATTTTGGATTTAACTTAATTATAAAAATGGTTACTAAAATGTTGGTTTCTGTAATATGCAATATATTATACATTTCCCCTACATTTTCATTTGTTTTGTCTTAACAATTTTTATGTGGTGTGGTGTGACAAGCTGATGCATGTGTAGAGCTCATAATGACCAAAGCAGGCCTGCTAGGGAAGGTGGGGTCTTGCTTTCAGTGCATTATCTTCACAATGACTTTTCTACAGTTTATTCCATATTTAAGGCATTTTGTGTTTGCTTTGGATTCATCAGATAATCCAGGGTAATGTCCCTATGTGGAGTTAGTCAGTTAGAAGCTTTCCATGTGGACTTCACTTGGAGATATGTATTCGCTAATCTTTTTTTCTCTCTCTCTTTTGCCAGTGATGGTGGTAGACACTGTGGACACCAAGCTGGGTAAGAAAACAGAATCCTGAAAATGACAAGAAAAGCCGAGGCTCAGTCACAAAGCTCACTGCTCTGTTAAAGGCCACATCATCAGAAAGGGCAGTTGAGATAGTGATGTCTGCAGGCAGGCAACCCACAAGGGCAAAACTGTAGTCCCAGGATTTCCTCTAGTACAAAATTACACAAGAGGGCTGGGGTCATAGTCCAGTGATAGGGCGCTTGCCTAGCATGCATGAGGCACTGGTTTGATTCTCAGCATTGCATATAAATAACAAAAATAAAGGTTCATGGACAACTACATAATATTTTTTTAAAAAAATTACACAAGAGGCCTTGGTTGTCAAATGTGATTTATTTGTGGAAGGAGTACAATGATACATTATGGCTTCTAATGTCAACAAGAAATAAATAACTTGTGATTTATGTCATTTGAGGAGAAATTATTCTCCAGAAATCCATGTTGACTCCTGAGATAAATTGGAATTACCATATTTCCAATCCAGTTTTGAAGATAACTTTGAGGAAATACAGAAATGATAGAGGAGATGTCAGAGAGGTTTGGATGCCAGAGAGAGCACAAAGCTTAGCAAGGAGAATTAAATAAGTTGAAATCAAGGAAACAAACACTCTATAAAATAAATAGAAGGACCAAGTGGCACTTCTACAGTTGGAACAAAATCATTTAATTTCTGGCTTTGAGCTTTCAAGTCCTGCAATCAACAGTAATTTTTAAGATGCAAGAGTTTTTAGAGTTTCTCTCTCAAAGAGTGTTTTCAGAACGCTCTTGATGTCTTTATTCCTCAGACTGTAGATGAAGGGGTTCAGCATGGGGGTGACCACACTGTACATCACGGAGGCTGTTGCACTGGAGTGTGCATTCTGGATCACGGCAGAACTGAGGTACACTCCCAGGAGTGTGCAATAAAATAAGGAGACCACAGACAGGTGAGATGCACAGGTGGAGAAGGCTTTGTACCTGCCCTGAGCTGATGAGATTGCACGGATGGAGGACACTATCTTAGCATAAGAGTAAAGGATACCAGCAAGAGATCCACCACCCAGCAACCCAGCTACAAAATAGAGCATCATATTATTTAAGAAAGTGTCAGAACAGGCAAGGTGAACCAACTGATTAGGTTCACAGAAAAAGTGGGGGATTTCCATGTCTGTGCAGAAGGATAGTTTCAACACCATTAAGCTCTGCAGTAAAGAATTTAGGGCACTTGTGATCCAGGATGCCAGAACCAGCAACACACAGAACTGGGGCTTCATGATGATCATGTAGTGCAGGGGGTGACAGATGGCCACATACCGGTCATAGGCCATCACGGTCAAAAGGAAGTTGTCCAACCCTACAAGTAATGTGAAAAAATAAATTTGTATGATGCAGCCTTCATACCTTATGGCCTTTCTCTGGGTCTGGATGTTCACCAGCATCTTGGGGATGGTGGTGGAGGTGAAGCAGATGTCCACAAAGGACAGGTTGGAGAGGAAGAAGTACATGGGCGTGTGCAGGTGGGAGTCTGAGATGGTGGCCAGGATGATGAGGAGGTTTCCCAGCACAGTGACCAGGTACATGGACAGGAAAAGGCCAAAGATGAGGGGCTGCAGTTCTGGGTCCTCTGAAAATCCCAGAAGAAGGAATTCCAAAATCTGTGTGTCGTTTTGTGGTTCCATGTGCTGTAGGTGAACACTAGAAAGAGAAAAATACAACTATTTTTTGTATCAGATCTTTTTAGAAGATCCTCTGTGCCATCTCTGATTAGGAGTTCCTGTTCCTCTCTGCCTTGTTCTCAATATATTGCATATTCTACAGTTTTCGGGAGCAATTCTTTCATGCTTCTGAGGAATGTAAACTGCGTTAAAATGATGTTCCTGGCACTGTCTAGGCAGTGATACCTTCAATATAAAATCACTTACAATCCAATCCTGAAGAAGAAATATTAATAGGTTAATTAGTTCAAATAACAGAGCTATAATGAGATTTTTATAATGTTTACACCATAATGAAAGGGTACATGTTTAGAGAAAGAGACATTTAAACATTATAGAATGTATCCATACATTGAAACAGCTCATGGCATCTCATAAACATGTATGAGTTAAAAACAAAAGAAGCAGTGATCGTTCAACATATACAGTGCAACTTCCCTGGATCAAACATGACAGGTGATATGGAGAGTAGGCAGAAGTGCTACTTTTTATAGGGGCGCAGGAAATACAGGTAAAGAAGTTGGCATTTGAAGAGACTTCAAGGAGGAGGGGACCCATGTGTTTGTCTGCAGAAACCTGTGCTTGCCTGCAGGAGCCCACCTGGAGGAGTGAACAGAGCCGCAGCCCTGAGGATGGGGCTCGCTGCATACACCCCAGTTCCAAAGGGAGCCATAGAGGCAGCCAGGATAGCAAGAGGGAGGTGTAGAGATTGTGTCTGAATGTTGAGGAAGGAGCTGGCCTCCTGGCTGCTTCTACAGAGGTATTAAGTTTCTCCATAAGCATAGGGTCTTTGGACCACACGTTGTCTCTTTTGCTTTGTTTTAAGCAGCTTTGTTGAGGTGCAGTTGATATATGAAGAACTGCATGTATGCAGTGTGCTTGGTTGGATGTATTTAGATATATGCAAACCCTAGTGATCCCATCACCACATACCATGTTTTAGACACATCTACTGATTCCCAGAGTGTCCTTGTGTCCCTTCTGGTTTTTATTTCATTTTTCCTGGGCTAAGAGCATTTAACATAAGACCTACCCTAACAGTAATTTCATACATGCACAATATCATACAGTTAGCGTTTGGCAGTAAGTCACAGAGCAAGCATCTAGAAACCCACCATCATATATAAGTCTAACTTTATAACCATTAAAATAACTCATGTGTCCGTCCTCCACTACCCCATCACCACCATCGTATTCTGGCATTCATGAGTTTGACTATTTTAGTTATTTAAGTGCAATTTTGCATTATTTTGATTTTCTTTTAAAGTTTATTCAAAGCCAACTGTTCTTTTTTTGGTGCTGGGGATTGAACCCAGGACCTTGTGCATATGAGGTAAGCACTCTACCAACTGAGCCATACCCTCAGCCCCCCGTTATTTTGATTTCAAAAGCATCTGGTGAATCCAATTGAATCCCTCCTGAGTTCTCTCCGTGGGTTAGGATCAGTTGTCTGAACTGTGAGAATCACAGTTTGGCCAGAGAAGGGCTCTGTAAGAAAAGATCCTTCCAGGTCAATATTCCTGATAAACACAGATGCCAAAATGCTCCTCAAATTAATAGTAATACCAAATTCAATAGCATGTTAGAAGCATGATTTTCTCTCCCTGCTTCCTTCCTTTACTAAACTTTGTGAGATGTATTTATAGTTTTTTAATGTGTCTTGTGTTGAATTCATGTATGTACATAGGAAAGATTGGGAGAGGGAGGAGGGAAGTGCTCGGAACTGAATTAGAGCAAATTAAATTCCTTGTTTTTGTGCTTATGTCAAAATGCATCCCACTGTTGTATGTAACAGAAATGAATCAATAAGAAATAAAAAAAATAAATAGAAATATTATTCCTACTTTTGAACATAAGAGTACAAGTGCAGCTGCTCTGAGGACTGCTTACTCTGTAGCAATCTATAGAATCCTGCATCTGTCATGACAACCTGTCCTCTTCCACATAGGATTTATCCCCAAGGGTGTTATAGCATAGGTGCATTTATTTCATTGTTGTCTGCAGGGTTTAGCAGTAAAAATGTAAAATCCAAATGAGAAGAGATCTTACCTGCTTTGTTCACATTTTTGTGTTTTCATGAAGGTGGGCATTTATATAGAAAAAATGTAAGAAATTAAGAGATTGTACAATAAAGAGAAGGATCGAGCTAGTAAAATGCACTCAAAACAACCACATGAAATAAAATTCAGCAATAACCTAAAATAAATTCTCATCAAAACTATCTAAAATAGCCATCATTTAACCACATCAATCTGGATCTCTAAATCAAGATTTAATTGACAAAGAGGTAGAAATAAGATAATAAAAAATAGATCTGTTTAGGAGCAAGGAAGAAACAATATCTAAGGTTATAATTTCATCTTACATATAAATGATGTGAAATGTGCTTGTGACATGGAACACAGTAGCAACAGGAAAGAAATTAATAACAGTGATTAAAATATTACCATTGCTCCCTTCATGAGTTCCTACCCTCTGGGTGAGCTGGACTCATTACATGCATGATCTTCCTTATTTCTCACAGGAACCTCAAGAAAACAAATTTTATGCTTTTTTTGTAAAAAGGGGATTCCCCCAAAATACTGATATTTGTATGTATAAAGGCATGTTTTTTTAAAAAAAATATGTAGACAATCCCTAGTTAAATGCAAAATAATATGTTCCACAAGACGTTAGGAGATGGTGGTTATTTATAAAAAACAAGCAGTCACAAAAGGCAAAACTGCCATATTAAGGAAAAGCTGATATGAAATCAGAAGGCAACAGGTATACAAGGTACTTTACAGATATCTGGATGCAGAAGAACTCTCTGAACTTAAAGGTGATGGGATGATGAGGACTCAAGGTGACTGGCAGATTTGGTCACACAAGATTCATGAAGTCTCACATACCCTCCTTCCAAAACATGTCTTGTACCTGTACAAGAGAACCAGATGGCAAGCAGAAAATTCAGTGGGAAAAAACTTCCAGTACTTCCTTTGAAATTTAAAAGATAAAAAACAGACTCCATGAAAACATAGAGCTTACATAAACAATTTGGAATCACGAAGAGAAGGAAAAAAACTAACAAATTTCAAAATATATTCAGCATCAACAGTAGAGAAAGAATTTCACTTTGTAGCCCTTAGTTGTCTCTTTACCTACCAAACAAAATTTATTTGTTTTTCATGTGAACACCCTGCATGAGAGAAGGTATTCTGAAGTGTCTCATGAACTTTTACTACAAAGAGGTTTTTTATGCAGAGTATTAGTCTGGTCTTGGTAATGAAGAGAAAAACAGACTTAAATAGACTTCATGTTAAAACTACAGAGGAAAAGACCCTAGCTTCATGAATACCCCGCCATGCCTAGTACACAATTTTATTACTCCTTAATGGTGAACCTCCTTGGATATTTCCCAATAATACCATGCACCACTTCCTCATTCAGACCCATCCAACTGCAGTTCCATTTCTGTCAGAAATGATCTACACACTGCCAAGTCTCAGAAATACACCCTTTAAAACACTTTCAATAAATTGCAGATGAGTTAGTCAGAGATGAAAGCACACAGTGACTTTCAGCTTTGGACTGTGCTGGCTCGGTTCTCAGGTGGCCTCAGCCTCCTTCTCTTCTTGCTGAACCTTTTTATAATACCTGCTCGGCTCTCAGAGTCACCTGGATGTTGTCTCTGAAAAGCAGCCTCCCAGTAAAAGTCTGGATTCCTCCCTGACCGGTTGATGATGGAGAGTGAAATCCTGTGCCCATATAAGATGATATGAAGGAGTGAAGCATTGGAGCCTAGCCTGACTCAGGATTCAGAAGAAATGACCGTGTCTTGTTCGATCCAAGGTTGTATCCTCTGATTGACATCAGTGTGTCTATTATACCTCCCTGTGTCTGCTCATTAGGTACATTTCCTCTAGTTACTTCAGTCCCTGATCACTTGATGTCCCTATGGGACACTGGTCAGAGCAGAAAGGAACTTTTTCCTGCTCTTTTTATAGTCCCAAGACATCTGGTTAGAAATCGGGCGGATCCAGTCTCTGATGCTCCTTCTCCATGAAGTGTCCTGCCCTCTACAAGTCTAACCTCCCTAGAACTTTTGATGTATTAAGTCTGGGGTACCCGACTCTTAGTCTTTGGGAACCCAAAGCACTGGCTTGTAGAGGGAACACATCTATTATTATCTTCAGAAAATGGCTATTCCCCCTTCATCAAAGGAGAGGACTGCATTCATTTTTTAATAATACCATGGGAAGTTACCCTTTTGCTTCATGAGGCTTTTTACAGAACATGTAAGGATGGTCATGCTTGGAACACAAGTTAAGAAACAACTGGGCTGGGGTTGTGGCTCAGCAGTAGAGCACTCACCGAGCACTTGCAAGGTGCTAGGTTCAATCCTCAGTGCCACATAAGAATAAATAAATAAAATAAAGGTATTGTGTCCAACTACAACTAAGAAAAAAATTTAAAAAACAAGAAATGTCATTAATGAAACACTTGATAATTATAAAAGGTATATTTAGATGTAGTTACGGTGATTCCATTATTCAGCACCGAGGCTGTGGTCCAGCATCAGAGTGGAATGCAGGCATTCTGAAGCCTTCTCCATCATGAAGGCCTCCACCCACCTCAGTTCTGTTCTTAGGTGGTCAGATGTGGACTCAGTAGCTCAGCTTCTGCCTAGACAAGTTGACACTTGCCCTTGTATACATCCTTTATGACAGGAAATCAAACTTATAGACCTTGGCTCCTTATATACTTGGTAGATTCCTCCTTCTTCAGTTTCTGTGTGAACTAAGTTGTAGGTTAAATCTCACAGGAAATGACCTGCTCAGAGCAGATGCTCCACAGATAGCTGCCATGGTGACCACAACCTTGCTTCTCATTGGCTCAGGTCACTGTGACATCACAAGGGTTTCCTGGCACAGAAAGTGAGTCCAGTATTGAGCTGTTCTTGGGAGACAGGGAGGGTGGTGGAG